CACTTTTCACCTCACTGTGCTTTGGCTTCTACAGTGAAACCCTTATGAACTAGTTCTCTCTGGAGTTCCCATTTCCCTTCTAAGTTGCTAAATTCTGTCTAGCTGTGAACATTCCTATGAGAAGCCACAGCTGACTCCAGAATTCCTGCTAAGGAGTCTTGGCTCTTGGTATCTATTCTTAGCCCTAATCCTGCACAGCTTCAACAAAGCAACCTCACTCAGACCTCGCCTGTCCTCTTGGAGGACTTTGTTTTCCAGTGGTGCTGTTCCTTACTATGGCACCCTGCGATTTCAGATGCACCCTCTGATCTACGTTCTTTCCTCCCACTGGCAAGACAGCCCCCCCCCACCCAGCACATTGCTGGGAGCCTCTTCCCATGCAACCAAGGTGGTGCACTGTGAGCACCGGGCGTGAGTGGAAGCCAGCCACCACATACATTCTTGTTTTGAGGGCCAACGTCCAACAGAGCTGCTCATCACCTTTCTGTCTCATTCTACCTGGGCTCATTTGGGAATGGGGTCATTTGATCCCTGCAGCAGCAGTCCCTGTGCCAGGCCGGCTAGCCTCTACTCGGTCCTGTGATATCAAAGGGCCATTTAGAAGGCAGTGTCCACCCATGGCCCCAAAGCATCATCTGCTTAGCTTTCCTTTATTCTATCTCCCTGGGCCCTCCTGGATTATAGCTCTGAAAAGGGCAGCTAAGATGAGGCCAAGCACTCGTTTCCTATACCTTTTCTCTTTTCCCTTCTTATATTCGTCAGCCGTAAAAGAGAAAGGTTCTCTTATTTTCAAGGATCAGGCTTCCTTATGAACCATATTTGATTACCATAAAGACCACATATTTTGTTTGTCAAAGACAGAATACTCTCTTTGCCTTCCTCCTATCACAGTCCTAATGCTATCCACAACAAACGGATGCCTCTTACAGAAGAGGCATAAAGTTTTATTCACAGATAAATAATACAGAAGAAAGTTTTAATGTAGTTCAAAAATATTAATCCTGTTACAGCTTGTAACCATTGATCTTGATATGCCAATTTGACTGGGTTACAAAATGCCCAGGAGATTAGTAAAACACTCTTCTGGGTGTGACTGGGTGGTTATGCGGGGTGTGACCACGGGGAATATATCTGATTCCATGTCACCTCTTCTCTGACACTGCTCCTCTGCTGTTTCCTGGCCACCATGAAACGAGCATCTTTCCCCTGCTGTACCCTCCCATCAGGACACTTCTGCTTTGGAGCCAGGTGACCATACATTGAATCTTCTGAAACCATGAGCCAAATTAAGCCTGTCCTCCTTTAAACTGTGACTGTCAAGTGTTACGTCCCAGAAAGGAAAAGCCAGTAAGGACACAGCTAGGAACAAAAAGGAATGGTTCAGAACATAGTTATGCATAAATGGCATCAGGACAGAAGCCTTGGCTGAGAAGTTGAGAAACCAAGTGAGGAAGGTACAAACCAAAGGAAGTCGGCAAGTGATGACAGTCTGCACTGTCAGTGGCAGCATCACCAAGTCCCGCCTGGCAGTGCTCTGAAGGCTTTGCTGGGGAAAAGGGTTGCAGGCTGATGACATTCAACACTTGAGTCACAGCCTACTCTTAATTGCTTAGGATTAGCAAACAACGACTTTCTGATTACCATTTGGCTTCCTGTATCTTTTTTCCTAGAAAGAGAGGACTGGTCATTTCGACATGACTAGTGTAAGCCATGTAGCAATCACAATTCACCAAATAAAAAGTTAAAGCTGGCATCATGGCATATGTATCAATTCCTTTCATAATGGCCTGCAAGGTGCCCCCTGCCCTGGAAGGAACCTTTATTATATGAATAAAATACGACCTGCTTTGGGCATCTATGGCTGAGGCTCAGCTGTAGGACTGGGGTGAATTTACAAAATATTAAAACTTATCTGCTTCTTTTGAGAAACCTTGACTTTGGCTGAGGCCTTTTTTCCTCTGGAACTTTCTTAGAATCAGAACCTTCCTCTTACATGAGGCAATGGATTTCCTATTGTTGTAAACAGCCACTAAGATGGTATTTGCCCTGGTGAATTTCCACCTAAACATGAGACTGCCCCTGAGTAAGAACACACGAACCACAATATTTTCTTCCTTCTTTTCACTGCTATAAAATTTTATATGTCGGGCTTGTTTCAAAGTTGCTGATGACATCGGGTCCCCTAATTCCATGTTTATGGAGAAATTCATTACCTTGGAGAATATAATTTTATCTGGTTTGGAGAGCAAACGAAACAGATGGAAGGGTTTTAAAATCTGCAAGTATTTCATCATTTTCACGCAATTGTTACATGGTAACTGGTTGGTCTGGGAAGAATTTATACCCAGCTAACTTTATAGAATTCAAATAAGGATTCTGGACCAAAAGAAAATAGCAATAATAATGCAAGCAAGACTAGCATCCTCCAGTGACTCAATCTATTCCTTACAGTGCCCCATGGGGAAGCTCTTCCCATCTGCCCTTCGTGGAGAGGGAGAACTTGCCAAGCGTGAGCACAGGGGCTGACCCAGCAGCTGCATCTCCACACCCCGACTTCCAGCCCTCCATTTACCTGGCCTACTTAAGAGTGGGAACTGGAATGCACTGGATTAGCTTTGAAAGTGGTGGAAGAAGAGGCCGGCCTCCGAATGTCAAGAAGACCTAATTCCATTTTTGTGCTAAATCAAATCTATTTTACCAGTTAGAGAGCCCCCATGTGACCTGTTTTAACATCTCTCCAACATTTCCAAAGCCCGACTACCTACTTTTAATGAAGGTATCAGTATAATTCAATAATTTTAATTGGTCCCCCCCCCCGAGTTATTCACAGAGCGCCCTGAACCTGTGGAAGCCCACACTGAGGAGAAGAGGAGCTGACTCATCCTTGTCTGGAAAGTCAAAGTGTTGGAAATGAAACCGAAGAAATAACAACTGGCTGGCTTCTAGAAGATTCTGTTAATTCATTTAGTGAGTATAAACACTGTGGGCACCGAGTGGCTTATCCTTAGCTTTAAAAATGATTCTCTTTAGCCTAGCTTGAAAACATGGGTTCTGGGTGGGGGAAAGGGAGCCAGGGAGCAGGAGGGGTGTCTCTTGGACACCTTGTCCTGGCTCCCTGCTGAAGGCCAGCCTCTGTCCTGCAGGGACCTGGGCCCTGCTGGGTGACTCTTTCCATGATAAAGTGAACATTTTATGGCTGACTCTGAAAGGGATTTTAACTTCCAAAGGCGGCTTGCAAAATGGAAACTACATATTGTTTTAGGTAATACAGGTGTTAAGCTCAGTGTTGTTAATAAATTCAAGGCCAATCCAATCTGGACCTATGGCCTTTCCAACCCACCCCCCAAATGCTAAATATAGATATGTAGAAGTTACTGGTTTTAATTTTTTACTTTCTCAGAAGAGCATGTAAATGTTAAAGGCAGTGTGAGGTGAGGAGAATTTATGATAGTCCCAAAAATAATGCATCAGGATGCCAAGTGGAGACTACCAATAGGGTTTTTGAGTAACCTACAGAAAATTTAAGCCTCCAAAAGGCAATTTTTTTTTCATTTGAAAATAAAGATTAAAATTCCAGCTATCTTTGGGGCAGGTAAAACCATTCTGGCAGTTATATGGTGATTTAGAAAATATACATGGAGACTATTCTGAGATTGATCAATGGGTTTGCAATCTTTAAGCTTCACTGAACTTAAGCAGAAAAAAGGAAAAGTCGCTCCCCGGGGCCTGGGGTATGATCTGACAGTCTGTACCTCAATAGTGACCCAGGCAAAGCTTTGGCCTGCTTGGCCTGCTTGCCCATCTGTATTTATGCACGCTGTCATTTCTTTTCTTAGACCTTAGGGAGTCCCACCAATCTGGGCATACATTATGTGCATCTAATTGAATTCAAACACCTCAAAGCTGCCTTTCTTTCCTTTTCCCTTGCTCTCCTGTTGTATCTGCAGCTGTACCCTCCCTCTCAATTTGGACTTCATGCCCTTCAGATGTCAAAGTTACCCTTCAAAAACAAGTTACATCTCATTGTTTCAGATGGTTTCAAGGGTATACCTACCTAGTATTTAGATACCGCATGCTTGGATTACTTCCAGTGGTATTTCTACACCTTCTTTAAGCATAAAATTAAATAAATACAATATTCTGGTACCAGGGAGGCTGAAGTAGGAGGACTAGCACATGTTTGAGGCCGGGATGAGCTACGTAATGGGTTCAAGGCCAGCCTGAGCTACCTTGCAAGACTTTGTCTTAAAACAATAAAAAAGATTTGGAGTATTAAGTTTTGGCAAAAAGAAAAAAAAGTCAAATTTAACAGGTAATTTCAAATATAAGGGAACTAAGAAAAACAATTCTCATCAGGTTCAAAAAATATACTGGAAAAGAAGGCCTTTCTTCTATTTCTTTTGTCACTAGCTTTGTTTGATGGAACCCGCAATGGAGATAGCCGCCCTCAGAGGTGACCTGAACTTGGTGTTCACTGTGTCCTGCCCCTGATGCTTTATTGGGACTGGGCTGTTAGTTGTCATTGCTGGGATTTGGGTCCTGGTGTCTATTAGGCAGCGTGAGGCTTAGCCCTGGGGCAGTACTGCCAGGAGGTGGTAGGGTCCCTTCCAAGGCGGGGTCTAGTAACCCCCATGTCATGGAGGCAGTGATGAGGATGGTCATTGCTGGCTTGTGTGGTGAGTGCTCTGTTCTGCTCCACAATCTGGTCATGAGTTTCCAGGCTCCCCACAGGGCCAAAGCAATGGGGCTGGAAGATCTTATACTAGCACCTCCAGAACCAACTGTGAGCTACAATAAACTTCTCTTTATTGCTACGTCGCCTCAGGTATTTTTAGGAAGCATTGAAGAGTTAACTAGCAAGACCATATGAATTCAACTTTCTAGCACCAAGAACTGGCTGAATTCTGAAATTTCTTTCTGCACCTGCAAGAGCACTCTCAGGTATTTATAGCCCACCAAAAACAGACGGGGTAACACAAGGCAACCTGAAAGACACTTACCTGGCTCACAGTCTTCAGCTACCAGGCCCTCGTACAGGTGCCGGCTAAAGGAAAGCTTCAAGTCTTCTCCTTCCCTGTGAAGGAGCAGGAGACCAGGATTTGCCCTGGCTGGCGCTCCTCGGTCTGTAACATTCAACTGCAACCATGCAGGAAAATGCTCCAAAGCAGGACTTCGCAGGAGCCTAATTTCTCCCGTGGACTCGTCCAGAGAAAAAATGGACTGGGTGTCTGCAAAGCTGAAGGTGACCGTCCCGTTGGGGCCCACATCTGGGTCACGGGCTCTTAGGGTAGCGATGGTCTGATTTGCAGACAACTGGGATGGAAGAAGGACATCCATCGGATTCTGCTCCCAAACCGGATCATTGTCGTTAACGTCAATGACAGACACATGGACACTGACAGTGGAACTCCTGGGGCCTGAGATGCCACAGTCTCTGGCCACAGCCCGAAATGCATACTGGGGCTGGACCTCCCGGTCCAGGGCACGGCTGGTTCTCAGTACGCCTGTCGTGGGGTCCACAGTGAACACACCAGCAGCCTCGCCCTCCAGGAAATACTCAATCTGGCCGTTCGGGCCTTGGTCCTCATCCACGGCAGACAGCACTAGAACCACGGTCCCCACTGCCGCATCTTCCCTCACTGAGGACTGGTAACAAAGCGTGGAAAAGGCGGGGTGGTGGTCGTTGTCATCCAAAACCCTCACCTGCACCTGCATGGTAGAGCTCCGAGGGGGGTCCCCCAGGTCGGAGCACTGGACAGTGAGTGTGAAACTGCTGACCTGCTCCCGGTCCAAAGCACGAGCGGTTGCCAGTTCTCCTGATGTTTCATGAATAACAAAGGACTCACCTGTGTTTCCATCTGTCACAGAAAACAATCGAACAGGTACTGCAGCGGGTTGAAAAAAATTGTGCCTCTCTGCTAGTATTGCATACATTCACATATTTATTCATTCGGGAACAGTTGTTACCTTACAAGCCATCCTAGCTCCTTTGTTAAGTCATGGACACAGCACAACAAAGCTCCTCACCATAGGACAAAAGGGGCCACTGTTACTTACTGCTGGTGGGTCAGCGTCACTGGATTAAGAGCTGCCTAACATAGGAGTAAAGCATGCTCCTGAATGTGTCCGGTGCCGGGTGGGTTGCAGGGTGTGGGCTACCGTCCCTCTCTCACGCTGTCCTCTGATCGGCTTACCAGCACCGGAATCTCAGCAGTCTTGCTCTCCTCTGTCCTCTTGCCCTGACGCTTCAGCTTCTTGCCACTTTCCGACCCAGTCCTCAAGGTCCTCTACGGTGAATGTCTTTAGTTGTGCTACGATGGTTTCCTTAACATCCTGAAGCTATTCAGAAACATTTAGGTTTTTGTGGCCATTTTGACTTTGGGAAATACCAGAAGTTGCAAAGTGCCAGTCTGGTGAGTAAACTGGATGAGGACACCCTGCAATGTTTTTATGAGCCTGTCCTTCTGTTAGATGAATGAGTGGAGGGGACCCTGTCTGGCTTCTGCTCTTTCCCTGTTCTCTGCTTCTGGAATGTCAGGAGATGAACAGCTTTCCTTTATCACACCCTCTTGCTGTGATGCTTCTGCCTGGGAGTCAGCTAGCCAAGGACTAAACCTTCTGAAATTGTAAGCTAAAATATTCCTCTCCTTGTGTAAATTACAGGTGTCAGATATTTTGTCCCAGCAATGGAAAAATGACCAATACAGACACCAAGTGCAAAAGAATCAAAATATAGAATGCATCAAGTCAGTCTGCATGCGGGGGAATTATAATTAAAAAATACTTACTGATTATGTCATACTTGACATCTCCATTACTGCCAGCATCCATATCAGAGGCCAAAACAGTATAGACAACCTCGGGTTCTTGATTTTCCAGAACCTCAATGCTGTGACTGGACACAAGAAACTCTGGCATGTGATCGTTTTCATCTTCAACAGTGCAGACGATCGTTGTGGTGCAGGACAGTGAAGGGACTGCCCCGTCTCGTACCAGGACTAACACGGAACATAAAGATGGTATGGATTGTGGCTATCAGTGACAAATGTGTGCTTCTAAGGGCATTGGACGAAGCTAACTGAATAGCACTTGGTCAATAACATTTTATTCAAAGACATCCCAATTAAATGTCAAACATTTCAGAACTTTCTGGTTTTGTGTAAAATACACCAGGATGGGAAGATCCGTTACCTCGAAGAGTGAAGATGTCCTGAACTTCTCTGTCAAGTGTGGTGGCTGTCACTACCTCTCCAGTGTCAGCATTGATCTTGAAAAACCCAAAGGAAGCCCCTGATAGGATCTCAAACTGCAGCTTGGAATTGATTCCTGAAGGAAAAGATAAAAGATAAACTTAGCAATTATCCCCTGGGAATTCATTCCACAGCTCCCCATTTATTTTCCTTTGGACATGTTAGGCCATAGATGAAGAAGGTGAGATTCTTAGCCAGCTTTCAAATTAAAGTAAAAGAAATCTCTCTGGCTGTGCTCACAAAATAAAAGGCTCATGAGCTGAAATGGCTTGATTTTCAAAAGTCTTGGGAGACTTCCCCATGGTGAATGCTTAGGATTTTTTCTCTCCCATAAACTTTTTCTTATGAGTGTGCAATTCTGCAACACATTCCTAATTATTCTTTTTAACACACTTGATTGTGATTTAAGGATGTAATTGTAAGTTTGTGGTACAAATGACAACTTCTGTAGATGGACCTTCTATTTATAAGCTTGCGCTCAGTTACAGGAGTCTGCTTGTTTTCAATCTTAGGAAGCCCACAGAGTTGCTAATGTGTTTATTTTTTTTGTTTTGTTTTTACTTCATAGTCTGTCTCCTATCTGAGTGAGAAATGTGATACTATATTATTATGTACTTTCAAAGTAATTGTTCCCATATTACAGTGGTTTCAACTAAGGACTTGTTTCTTTCTCCTCACACCCTTGTCACACTCTGAAACTATGAAAATTAAAGATAATTGTGGAAATATGGATCTGACGATATTTAGTGACACCCTTACTGCACACACCTAAGAGTGTGTGTGTGCATGTGTGCATTTGTGTGTGTACCTATACACGTGCCCAGGTATGCCTCTCGCCATTTAGTTCCTTCCCATCTAATGCAGCCCTGAGAGCAATCACTTTAGCCATTTACTTCTTTCCAAAGGTCTTGGGAGCTTTTGCCAAAGCTATTGAACAAATCTTCATCCCAGGTCCTTTCTATCACTCTGTTCTCCTGGATTATCCAGGAGATAGAAACTGCCATCCTGGAGTTTTGCTTGGTCACCCCATCCTACTCAGGGTTCCTAGCTGACACTACTGGCTCTCTTACAGGCCATAACCTTAGAACAACCCACGGGAAGAGAGGCATCAGAAAAACGATCGCTCAGCCTTCTGCATCTATATTAAACTCCAGCCTTCATCTTTCTGTCCCAGTGGCAAAAGAAAATCTTTAAATACTCTCTCTTGGAATTTTTCGGTAAGTTCAGGTCTTTCTCCTAAAAATATTCCCTTTGATTAAACTCTTCTGTAGCTAGAAGCATTAAGTTCCACCCACCCCTTCTCTTTGTAGCCAAATTTCACTTACACGGGCTGACCGTTCTCTGCAATTAACTTCAAAGCACTGCCTAACCCAGCCTTTCTCTGCCACGACAGTGGCCTCCTACTTGTAAAACCTGCTCAGCATTTTTAGCTCCTGCCTAACTTGGTTTCTCTGGGATATACTGTTGATTACAATGAGGGAACCAAGGTAAACAGAGAGGAAAGAAAAGGGGAAAGAGGAGTAAAAGAATAAAAGGAAATATCTTTTTCTTGTTGCTTTAGGATTTTTTTTTTCCTCATTTCCAAGTGAAATGTAGGGATCTTTTCATGTGTGAACAATGATATCTGGGCCATCTTTTCTCTGGGATCTCACTCTACAAATTCATTCTACCTCCTTCTCAACCCAGGGAGGTCAGGTTCCACCTAGGTATGGATGACCCCACGTACATGCATGGAGCTTGATCGTTTGTTTGGCTGTATAATTCTTCCTTTCTTCCCTCTCTCTCCCTCCCTCCTTCCCTTCCTGCCTTTCCTTCTTTTTCCCTTCTTCTACCTCCCTCCTTCTCATCCTTTCTTCTTTATTTCTTTTATATGTTCATGCATGAAATGCACATTTACTGAATGTTCAGATGCCCATCAGGGAAGGAGATAATAAAATCTATGCATCACACAAAGGATGATGGAAAACATGGAATTGCTGAAGGAGTGCATCCAGGAAGACTTGTCACAAATAGACGGTTTGCTTGTTACTTATTTCATTCAATAAGTATATACAGAGAGCAATATGAGGTGCTAGGTCACTGTGCCAGGTATGAAAAGTATAACCAACTGCCACCAAGAACAAATTCTCTGTCCTCGCGGTGCTCACATTAGAGCCTGGATAAGTAGGTAGGCGATCACAATTCTACATGATGAGGCGTGTGAGGTGAAGTGCCTTCTTTATAACCTGAGACCCTAAAAGAAGAATCAGCCAGAAAGACGGGAGAATGTGTGAACGCGTTTAAAATAAAATCCACGCACCTTGCCACCCGCTGCAGAGCGGGTCCCACATGTTGTGGACTCTGCTCATTTCCCCAAACTTTTCTCGCGCCCTGGCTCCCTCCCAGATTCCTGGCCTATGTGCTCTGCGCTGTTCTTTGAATACACTGCTTCTTTTTGCAGGGGCCTCCTTAGTCCCTGCTCCTTCTGTCAGCTCATCCGCAGGTCTCTACATGGTGTCACAGCTGCTTCACAAAGGCGTCTCAGACCTACACTGTTTCTCTACACTTTAGCCATCGTGCTGGAGCCAGGAACCTGAAACCACAGATCTTCACCAAATGATTCCCTCTAAGGGTCAGTTACAAAAGGGACATGGGCAGGAGACTGAAAGGCAGAAGGAGAGGAAACAATGCTTCCTTCTTCCAAGCTGCACACTCTCCAGCAGCAAAGTCGCTCGGTCTCCTTCACCACTGCCCAGCCAGGTTCTCTGAGGTCTTTCTCACTGCTTTCTCCCAGGTTCTAATAGTTCAGATTCCCCTCTGTTTCCCAGTAGCAGCTAATTCCTAGATTCCTTTTATTTGGAATGTCTTAGTATTCTCCATTTACTCACTCAGCTATTCAGCACCTGTGCTGTAGCACCTGGTTTTCCTGAGCAAATGTGACTGATATTTGGCTAAAAGAGCTGGTTTCAGGTAACAGGGGGTCTGGGCTTGGTTTGATTCTTTTTGGCTTTGAATGCAGTATGGAGTTTCTTGCCATGGGAATTATGGTGCGTTAGTAATTCAACACTTGAGGTGATTTCATGATTAGTTAAATGATCATCTGTGTTCATCTATGATGATGTGACTATTAAAGGAGTCCAATTCATGAGGGAACCAAATGGCACTGATTTTAACTACATGATGGTAAACAGGAATACGACACAGGATGATATTTGAATGTAGCAACTTACATAAAGAATTCTACCAGCTGATGCTTTAAACTTGCTTCTCAAGTCACAGTTAAGAAACTTGCATGCTCCATCAGGGAATCCTAAAATTCATGTCCTCAAAGATCAGATCCAAATCGAGTGGCAGATTTAACTGATAGCATGAAAGGCAATTGTTACACCCATGAATACTCATAACCAGAGTCAGATTTCAACACATTGCAGACAGCCAACCACAAATCCGACTCTGTCAAAGGCAGCTCATAGATTCAAAAGAATGCAATAATTTTATAACTTGTATTGCCATAAACCTGGGAAATACATATAGAAATTTGAAGGATATGAGATGCAGGAAGATAAAATATAACACTATGGGCTTTGGATGGCTTTTTGGTATAGTACATTTCCTAGCGATTCTACGTGTACTGTGCCAGCTCAGAGCGTTGTGTCCCTAATAGTTTCCTTGACTGGTTAGAATCAGTGGTGGCCTGCAATCACTGAGGTTGAGATACTAAATCTTTGCATGCATACTCTGCTGCAAAGAACACAAAGCTTAATGAAATGGGGCTGTTAGGATGGACTTACCATGTGTGCTATGCCCACCATTAACTCCCAGTGGATTTCTTGAGGATTCAGAGGATTCTCTCTTCTTAAAGATGTTGGTTAGGACTTGTTAAAGGCATCCTTGAAATGCTCCCTGGTGTAGGCTTGAATGGACCATGGTGCCACTGGTCTTGGATCCAACAATACTTCAATATCTAATACTTCATATCAGTTTGTGAGCACAATGTATCACCTTCTTCTACCAAGCAGAAATATCAGTGTATCTATCTTCATTCAAGCTCTTCTATCTTTCACCATCACCTACTCAGAAGATAACGATCTGCCTGGCATCTAATAGAACACTCCACCAACCTGGGACTTTGATGAGATCACAATAACTGGATTTTATGAGCAGAAAGTAGCAAAATGACTCATACATCTTAGTTAGACGTATATTGGATCAGGGATTGGGATACTGCAGCCCCTGGCCACATCTGGAGCACTCCCTGTTGGTGTAAACTTTCCAAAAACACAGGCACGTAATTTCTTTGTGTTTTATCCAGGGTTGCTGTCTGCTGCAATACCAGAGCTCAGCCAATCTGAACCTTAAATCTTTATTGTATGGTTTCTTCTAGGAAAAAAACGTACAGATCCCCATCCTAAAGGATCAAAAAGCATCCTAAGCCATCCATTGGCAAGTGATGGGAGAAGACAGAAAAACTGGAGCCTCTTCACAAAGTCCCTGATTATTAAGCTAAAAGAGATAGACCTGTACTAAGTTTCCAAGCTTCAGAGAATTAATGAAGAATGCTGCCAAGGCAGAGCAGGCAGAGAGAGTGTTACTTTCAGATTTACTCGTTGGGAAGATCATCTTTCATGCAGTTCATCAGTTGCACAATGACCACGCCCTCAGCTCATTTCTAAAGCAAAAAGACAACCACATCGTGTTGATGGTTTGAAGAAATAAGTGAATAAATTCTGCAGAAGAAAGATAACTGCATGCAGCTTATGTCTCACCTACTTCAGATTCTCATAGCATGTAGTAAAATAATATTTATTGAATTCCTGTAATATCTTGCTCTACACTAAGGATTTCAGATAAAAGGAAATGGGGTGTCCTGATTCCAGGCAACAAGACATCCTGAATCCGGAAGTATTTCATAGTCTATAGGGGAGGTAGATGAGTGAGCAGTTATATAATTAAAGTACAATGCATTAACTGCAGTAATAGTATATTCCCAGGTTTTAGTTTTAACGGTCATGGTCTGAGTAAAGTTATTAGTTCTTATTAACTTTTGTCCTTTTTTTCACCTTTCTGTAAATGCATTTATAATAGGACTCCATATAGAAAAATAGGACTCTTTATATAAAGAGAAAATCTTTATACAGAGCACCACGCAGAAATCAATAAAACACTCCCAGAACAGTAGTAAGGGATTAGGGGAAGTGCCCCAGCCTAATTAGGTGGTGGCTTCCACTAGCTGTCACTATGAGTTCCTGCAGCAATGCTTCCTTGGGTTGAGGGATTTAAGCTTTGAAGTCCCCAGTGATCTGCCCATCCTTGAATTCCTCTGTTAGGACTCTGGGGCACAGAGTCAGTGAGACAAATTTGGGCATGGATTCTATGGATCTCCTTTTGCACCTGTTGGTCAGGTCTGATCAGAACTGTGGGCAAAGGCTGGTGGCGAAAAACCTGGAGAATGGTCGGTGAGTAGCTGCTGATAAAGTGCAGCTGACCAGCTGGTGGAGGTTTTGCCTCAGGGGAGGACACAAGGGAAATTCCACTCCACGAACAAACTGGCTTGTAAAAAGCTGAATATGCCAACAGAGTGGCTAGAAGAGTGAGAAGCTAACATGGCAAACTGTGATAGATCGAGTTATTTTACCTTTCATATCCTTCCGTCTATGCATGGACCAGTCTGCTTCTAAAGGGTGTGCAGAATGGCCTCTTAAAATCTCCAGAAAGATGACCTGTCACCCACTGGGTAAAATCATTCTCAAGGCTAAGTGAGGAACACTTACCTATTTTCGTTAATTCAAAGATATTTTTCAAATTTTAACTTTTCTGAAATGAGATGACTTTTTAAACTAAGGGTGACACAGATTCAGGGAAATCCTGCTTCTCCTTGGCCTGAAATGTTGCTCTGAGAGGGGTGGTGGGATGCCCAGTGTGGTGATAAACAGTTACATTATTCGAATTCATGACTTTGGAGCAAATGGATTAACGAGTATGAGCTATCTGCTCGGCAGTTGGGAGGGACACCTCGGCATAGATTTTTGCTCACTAACAATGGCTCTCTTGCTGGTGCACCAGATGCTGCAGCAGTTTTAATGTTATAGTTAAAATCTGGTTGTTGTTAATTTTTTTGTTTTAGTATAAGAAAAAACTGTTAGAACAGTATGAGTCATACGACATAAATATTCAGCGTTCACATTCCTGTGGGTTTTGAATGCCAAACAACATTGTATGCCTACATTTTTAAAATTTGTATTGTAGAATACTAGAAAACACTTGGTAAGTTCCTTGGTATTAAGTAGTGCTATAGCATTTTTAAAAATATATACTATAAAGTAAACCATTCATAAATTCCAAGGCAATGCCAGTTATGTTAAAATCCTGACTACTACATCATCCACTTCTCATGCATACTCCTATTTCATTATTTTAACCCACTGAGCCAAAAAAGTAAAAAACCCAAAAGAGAAAAAATATAATCAGAAAGCACAAGTGTGCACACAAATATTCATATGCATTTACATAATCACCCGCTTAACAGATTTGGCGTCATTAAAAACACCAAGGCTTCCAGTAAACCAAAAGTATCTCCAAAACATGCAAAGCTACAGGAGACTAATGGAGATTTAAGGAGTCCTTCAAACACCCGTGACTGGAAACCTGCAAAAACAAGAATTCCACACCTACATTTGCAATCAGCAACCACAATATCTAGACTATAAGCTTTCCATTCAATTAAAACTGAATTTTAATTGCACAGGTTGCACACAATTCAGGTTGCACACAATTCATTTTCAAAGAAAATACCATTAATACTAGGGAATTTGACAGTGACAATCAGAACATGATCCAAAAATTCATGGGAAATTCCTTTGTCTTCAAGCATTCAAGGACAAGAAATTCATAATCAAAAAAATAAAATTTATAAAATAAATCAGGCCACGCAACAGAAGCATTCTTTGATTAATAAGTCACATGGCACCAGCGGTAGGTAGGCTCAGTGTAAATCTATACACTTTGGGATGTGATTCTGTTACCCAGCGTCCCGTGTTACTCTGTTAACCGCAGAGAACACTCTAGATGAACTTTACTGAGTTGTGGTTATGATCAAACAAAAAGCTTATGTGTGTTATGTGTGTTTATCCATAGTTTCCTGCACCCTAAAGTGAGCGTTGCCAGAAATAAACTGCATCGATTCTCTCAGCACACATGCCTACAGACTGTTGGGGGCCCCCTGCCTATGTCTGAGCACAGTAAGAAAACACCCTTGCTCACACTGCCCCACTCTGGCCAAAAGAGAAATTAGGTGAGCTCTTGAAAAGCGTTCTCTGCAATTCCTACAAATTCTCAAAGTGAGATGGATTTCATGAAAAGATGATGTTTCTCAAACAAACAAAGCAGTTAAACGGTATATAATGTAGTTTAAAATTTCAATTTATTGTTTTGATTAACAATTTAAGGGCTTAGTCTGTTGTTGATACTATTATTTTCATTAAAAAAACTATGACACTTCTTGTAAGGATAGAATAAAATAATAGGGGAAAGGAGGAAAGAAGGAAGGGAAAAGGAAAAAGACATAAAGCTATGTGTGTCTATATATACATATGATAGCTAAAATGACTATACTACTAACTGTATTAGTTCTTGGAAAAGAACAATTAATACTCATACGATTTGATCAATTTTACATGTCTATATCTGGTAATCTAAGCAACTCTTTTGAAGGTAACAATATGCAATGTTATAACCATTGCCAAATTCCTATCATCTTGTTTTGAAAGCCTGTACTGTTATTGTTTTTGGTTTGTTGTTGTTGTTTGTTTGTCTCTTTTGCTTTTTGTTTTTCTTTTGTGTCTTTTTTCTCTTAAATAAAAAAGAATAGAACAAAATATTACACTGATGTATAATCCCACTTGCTATATCCAATTGTGAATGTTAAAAGACTGGATTTATATTAAACAATTCATATTCATTCAAGTAGGAAAATTACAGAAATGATCTTATTAGGAAGCACTGCACTGTAATTTCCATAATTATTTTGAGATAAAAACAGAGTTACTGGGCTTTAAATGCAAGAAGAGCCATAGTGATTGAAAAGCAAGGCTAAGAAATTTATAAACTCCTAGTTCTGGCAACAATTCATTTTGAAGCTGTTTGTCTATATTCAATGCTTGATATTAATAATAATAGCAACAATAATGTTAGGAATTAACACTTACTCACCACTTACTGTGCCAGACACTGATATAAGCTCTTTACAAGTAATAATTCATTCATCTTAATGATGGGATTACAAAATGAGGTACTATCATGATCCCCATGATCTTATACTCATACACAGAGGAAGAGAGAGATACTATTACCTAAGTCAGAGATGGCATAAGTAATCTGACTCCAGCAGCCTGTTCCTTCAGCTATGTTGTACATTGCGAAAAGAAAACATCATTTACTGTCTTTACTCAACCCATTTATTGCCCTCTGAAATAACTGTGATTCTTTGTTTATCATTCTGTTTATTATCATGGTCAAATCAATACATTGCATTTTATTTAGGCATGGACCACTCTAATATAAGTATCACTCAAAATCAGCAAGAGCAAATGCTATCAAAGGCACACATTATCTTTAGATATCTATGTTCCCACATGCATGTGAATAAAAGTAACAGAATGTGAGGTGCCTAGTAACTTCATTGCTTCTTCATCAAACTGCAGTCTGCCAAAAAAATGTATACACACTTCAGGAAAAGAAAAAAACTCATGTAAATATTTTAACACTAAATTTACTGAGACATCATGAGATTACTACAAGTTATCTCCGGGCTCAACAATTACAAGAGGTGCTCGGAGTAGTGACCATGAGCTTCCAGATGTTGATTTGCACAGCAAACTGCTGCTTGGGTAGCCTAGGTCACTGAGATTATTGACCCTCATTTTCAATTTCTTTTCTTAGCGCCGGCTATGTTGTGGGTTCTCCGCTCTACAGGACAGGACGTCAGGATGTCTCACAGGGAAGTCTTTCATTGTTTAGTCAGGAAAACGTGCACCTGACAGAAGTCTTTTCCTGAAGTGTGTATATCTTGTTTGGTGGATGCTGTGGTCCTGATATTTTAAATGATGTCCATCACAATTTTGAGCATCTTTTTCACATTGATCACCAAGTCTACATATTTTTAAATTACCTGAATCTCTGTCTGTAGCCTCAACTCTTGTGACAAACTCCCCTGGACCTCGGTTTTCTTTAACTGACGCTTCGTACAGGTGCTGCTTAAATACTGGTGCCTCATCACCAACATCAAGGACGGTGATGGTCATCGTCTGGGAAGAGGAACGTGCCGGGATGCCACCGTCCAGGGCCATGAGGGTCAGAATGTGTTGAGTTGTTATCTCATAATCCAAAGGGCGAGCTGTGGTCAGTAACCCTGTTTTAAAGAGAAGCCAAGCAACATGGTATGAATATTCCTCGGGTTAGTAACAAGTATGCTCACCCTACCTATGTTCATCTCATCTAACTTGATTAAAAGCTTCGAATTTTTCATTGAAGAATGAATCATATTAAACCAACCCTAAAATTTATACATGGCCCAGAATAAAAGTTAATAGTACAGTCAGAAAAGTGCATTTAAATTATAAAGGTGAATGATTATTCAAAAATAATCTATGCTATACCATCGTCTGTGAAGAGGACTGTTATTTACCTATCCCATATTTACCTCACTTTAAAAGATATCTGATACTAACAATCTATAGGTTTTCCCATGACATGGCACTTCCTGTGTCAAAGTAACCGACTTACAAATTTGGAAGTATGATTACATGGTTTAAACCATTTTATCTTTGTTGAAGGGTTATGGTCACTTTATACTTGCCCGAGGTGTCTTTTTTTATTAACAGATAAAGGCAAAGGTGTCATAACCCAGTCAATGGACTTCACAAGTCAAACACACCTCTGATCTGTTGCCACAGAAGCACAAACCCATACAAGCTGCATTCTACATGGGTAGTCATTGTGGAATTCCACCTGCCACACTTTTCTTTTATGGTTGCTGACTGTTCTTCCCATCCTCTACTAAACATTCTTCAAATACTTAAAAAGGTTTAGAGTTAAGTTTTAGTAAATACTTTTTTCTGCAATTAATCATCACTTTGTCCTTACTAGCCCATTAGCTGTTTAAAAGTTTACTATTTGTATTTTATGACAAATTTGAGACTTGCAAGGAAGAATAAATCTCATATGAGTTCATTCATTAATGATCATTTTATGTCTGAAAAATCTCTCAGCTAAAACACCCTCTACATTTGCCCAAGATGCGTAATATCTCAATTCCTGAGCCGGTTCCAATTCTCTTCCTCCACCTTAACAGTCTTCCATAGACCTGCCTTAGCCATCATCCTGGAAAACACTGTAAGTATCTTGGAAATAGATCCTCAGAGACAGGCGGCTCTTCCAGAGCCCAGCGGCCTGCTTCTGGGCCGCCTCTGTCAGCTGGGAATGTGGGCAGTGCTCACATGCGCTTCAGAACGGAACCATGTGTGCAGGATTTAATAAAGATTTTGATGAAATTTTCCAGCAGAAAAGGGCCAGACTTTAATGATGACTTCCAAGCCTTGCACACTCAGTCTCATTCCAAATAATGTTCTGATTAAGAGTTGGGCCAAACAGTGGTACATTGGAGATGTTTTTCCATATTGAAATACCTTTGTTTCTTGTAGGACAAGTTACAAGTCCACTGATTTTTCAGTGCCCCCTGAAGACAAAGGAGGGAGAAGTCCATTTCAAAACTCAAAGACTGATACTTTGTATACATTCTTTACCATCAGGTTCATAAAATACTATACTGCCTGTTATCTGGCAACATGGTGACAGCAAGACAACTGACTGACAGAGAGGAACACTGTCACAAAGTACTTGACAATGAATAAATGTTTGTGCAAAATATTCAGTGGTATTTATTTCCCTGATGATTACTCATAAAAAAGACTAAATCTAGAAATCCCATTGGCCAAGCCATACCTCTTCTTTCCAAAAGAATCACAGTCACCATATTTCAGTGACACATGCACACTCATGTTTACAGCAGGACAACTCACAATGGCTAAATGATGGAAGCACCCTATAGGCCCATCATCAGATGAACAGGCAAAGGAAATGTGATATGTGTACACAATGGAGTACTTCTCAGCCACGAAGAAGGATAATTTTGAGTCATTTGTAGGGAAACGGATGGACTTTGAAACCATAATGCTAATAGCAACATGCTTTCCCTAATATGAGAAACCAAATTATAAATAATTTAAAGAGTAAAATAAAAAAGAGATAGTAGGAAATGGAGGTAGAGTATGGAGAAGGGAAGGCAGGCGACCTGGGAAGCAGAGAGGAGGACAGAGGGAAGCGGAGGTGTAAAATAGATTAAGATGCAGTGTGTGCATGAACCAGTCCCTCAAGGGAAGGGAACTGCTAAGCACTGACAACATGCACTAACAATCCCATTTCAAAGAAACATACAATGTTACAACTGATGGGAAAAGCAAGGGCCTTGGTGTCCACATAAATTCAGAGATTAAAGCAGCAGTTCCAGCTATTTGCAAATATTTGCATAATCGAAGGTGGATTTCCATATCCAAGTCTCTAAGTGACCCTGTTGTTCAGGTGCGCTGCTGTCTTGACTTTGTTCTGGTGCCATCTCCTACTACAAGGATCCCTTTGGGGGCAGCAAAGAGGTTAGCTATTGAACCTTCAGCCCATTACAGAGGAGGTGGCTACAAAACATAATCGAAGTTAAAGAACAGGCAAGTTAAAGTTGTGGTTCTGCAAATACAACCTCTGTACTTATTATGCATATAACTAAAGGAAGCCAAAACTTTTGAATTTATTAATGCGTTTTCATCTTGAGAACACTTTAATAGGGAGAAATGAAAAGCCTGCTTGTAAGCAAATAATAAGAGACTTTAATTAGAAGTGACAGAAAAAGAATCCAAATCAAAAAGAAGTAAAATTATCCTTGGCCATTGACTACATCATCTTTAAGAAGAAAACTCTAATGACTTCCAAGTTAATAACACAAGATCAACATCAAAAATTAGTTATGTTTCTATATACTCATAAGGAATTATCTGAAAAAGAAATTATTAAAAAATATCATTTATGGTGATGCCAAAAGGAATGAAATACTTAGGAAAAAAATATCTACCCTGGCAAGCCCAAACTATAAAATACTGATGAAAGGAATTAAAGAACACATACTAGATGCAAAGCCATCCCATGTCCATGGGATGAAAAACTAATACTGTTAAAATGTTAAAACTATACAAAATAACCTATAGACTCAGTGTGATACCTATGAAGATTCCAGCGGCATTTTTTTTTTGAAAAGAGAGAAATAAATGCTAAAAATTCATATAGAATCTCAAAGAACTCCAAATAACCTAAATAATCTTGGGGAAGAACAAACCAGCTGGAGATGCCACGCTTCCTAACATCAAAACATGTCATAAAAGTGTAGCAATTAAAACAGTATTTACTGGTTTAAAGACAGAATGGAAACAGAGAGGAGATCCCAGGAAAATCACTCTTGCTTTGGATATGAGGGCCACGAATGGCCAGGGATATAGCTCAGCAGCACAGTGCCTGCCTGGCAAGTGTGAGGTTATGAGTTCGATTCTTGGTTTAAAAAAAGAAAGAAAGAAAATGCCATGGATACACAATGGTGAGACAGATGCTTCAAGTTGTGTGGGACAACGTGCAAAAAGCAATGAAACTGAATCGGTATCTTTTATCTTTTATTACAAAAAACCTCGAAATAGGTTAAGGATTAAGGTAGGACTGCAAAGAATAAAACTCCCTGGGGGAAAAAACATTACGAAAAAGCTTTATGACATTGGTTTGGCAATGATTTTATGAATAAGACAAAAGGGAAATAAGTAAGAATTCACCCAACTGTGAAGCAAAGAAAATGGAAAACTATGGATTGTGAGAAAATATTTTCAAGCGTGTATCTGATAAAGGGTTATTATCCAGAATGCGTGAAGAACTCTTGCAACTAAACAAGAAAAAAAAAAAAGCAAATTTTAAAAAGACTGAACAGAGAACCTAACTTCTTCAAGGAAGACATGAAAATGGTCAACAAGCATAGGAAAAAAATGTTTTGAGTCAGTCACCAGGGAAATGCAGATCAAAACCACAATGATGTATTTTAACCCTCAGGATAGCTATTATTATAAAAAAGGATGACAAGAATTGTCAAGGATGTGGAGAAAGTGAAATCACGGCACATTGTTGATGGTGATGCAAAATGTTCCAGCCAGATGAGGGTGCAGCCTCTGCAAAAATCTTTTTAAAATTCAAATAAAACTATCACACTGCCTGCAACCCCACTTCTGGATATTTATCCAAAATTGTTGACCTCCAGATCTGCAAGACATAGTAGCATTTCCTTTCCTACTGCAGCACTGTATACAGCAGCCGAGGTGTAGAAGTTGTGCGAATGTTCATTAGCACATGAACTGACAAATAAAACATGGCATACATGAGTGCAGTGGAACACGATTCGGTCTTTAAAAAGAAAGAAATGCCATAGTATGCAGCTTCATCACTAACAGCCAGATACTACATGATTCTACCTCTCCGAGATGTCTAAAACAAGAATCAAATTCATAGAATCAAAGAGTGGATAGCAGCCGGGGTGGTGCAGGGGGTGGTAAGAAGCTTAGGTTTCAGCTATAGGGCTGAGGAGTCCTAGAACTCTGTAGTGCTCCAGCACGAAGCATGATGTGTTGCAATGTGTTTGTAGGGCAAGACTCACGTTGTTTCTTACCCCAGTAAAATAGATTAAAAATGTTTCAAAGTGACCCCAGGGCACTGTACCTGAGGATTCGTCAAGCACAAAGGTCTTGTTTTCGTTTCCGGCGTGGATGCTGTAGGTGACCTTTCCATTGCTTCCTTCATCCGGATCTTGAGCCCTTACGTGGTGCACTGAGGAGCCCACGGTGGCATCCTCTCTGACATAGGCGACCGGCAAGGACAGGAACATGGGGCTGTGGTCGTTCATATCCAGAATCACCACTTTGGCTATGAGTGACCTTGAGCGCCGGTCTGTCACGTTCACAGCCCTGTCAGATGCAGTGACTGTCAAGATGACTGCTGGGACTCTCTCTCTGTCCAAGGAGGACGCAGTGACCAAGGTGCCAAATGAGGGATGGATGAGAAATGGGTTCACCCCAGCCTGGGGGGACTCGAGGAAGTACTGAATCCTGCTGTTCAGAAAGCTACCGTCACCATCCTTGGCGTTGAATGTGTACACCAGGGTCCCTATGGGAACGTTCTCCGCCACACTGATCACTATGAACTCGTCTTGGAAGGTTGGAGAATGGTCATTCTGGTCTTCCACATCAATACTGAGGAAGACTGTGCTCTGCAGGGGAGGACTTCTGCTCTGGTCCTCGGCGAGCACCCTGAGAAGATAATGCGGGGTGGTCTCGTAATCAAGCTCCCGGGAAAGAAACAAGTCCCCGCTAGAGCTGTCGATGGCAAAGTGACCACTGTGGTCATCTGAAGCAAGGCTGAAGTGCAGCTTCCCGCCGTGATACTGTGGGAGGTGATCGGGTGACTTCCCCAAGCTCATGATTTTTGCAGGCTTCATGCTCTCTGGTAAAACTAAATGTCTGATATGCTGAGAAACGATAACCCGTTCCCTGGACAGCGGTATCACCTGAAACCAGAATAAACAGAAGCTGTTCCTCTGGAAGAGTTAAGTAACTGACTGAACAGTAACAGTTAATGGCAAACATTAAAACACACCATTATATCATTTGAGAAGCTGATTCCTATTTGCATTATATAAACATGGGGTTGGGGGGAGAACATCTTTTTATATAATGTAATTCCAGCATGCTCAGAAGTCTGCAGTTGTGTAATACTGCAAAGTTAAGAAACGCCAGAATTTTGGGATTTTCAGTTTGCTGTAAGGTATGTTTGATGAGGCCATGCGATGATTAAGTTGAAATGCAGCCTTTGTGATTCCTGAATTGGAATGCAGGATAGCTGTTCTCCAAATTACTCGGAATCTAAGGACCAATCTATCCAGAATGATGGCTTTATCCATTTAAATATCTACCCATGGTGACATCTTTATATGATTGTTTTGGAAACACAAAACTTGAGATATGATTATACATGTTTTCTCCTAATGCACATTTCTTTAATACATAAAGAGTATAACTTGAAAACAGAACTCACAAGAAAATACATTTTTGAGTTTACACACACGTAAAATGTGCATTTTTTAATACATACTGTTTGTGTGTATGTATACATCTGATTATACCGTGAATCAACAAGGAAATCCAGTTATGCAGAATTGTCTTAATTTCGCTGGTTGGTACAACTTTTGCCTACTATGAACACTTTACATAACTTGTTTGCTTACTGTGATTTCAGTGAAGTCTTACAATATGGATCTTAGGCAACTGATCTAAGTTTTTAAAAATTGCTTTAAACTATGGGATTTAGCCTATGGCTATTTATTAATCATCCAGTTTCTCCTGCAAATCTGCCAGGTTGTTGCAGTTAGGAACCATTAAAAAAAGACATCATTTGTGTACAATAAACAAAGGAACACAAATGCCCAGGTAGCAATATCTTGTGAAGAACTATATAAAAAATTATTTGGACCTAAATGATTTCCTTGTAATAAGAAAGTAGGTATATCCGAGCAATATGATCTTAAAATAATACTCACATATTCAGTGTACCTTCTTTCTGTCCATTTGTATAAAAATCAAGTGAAAACCAAGAGCGCATCTTCCCCGTTTGAAGGTGACAACATTACCTGAATATTAATAACCGCCCGGCCTTGCAGCGGGGGCTCGCCCTGGTCGCTGGCAAGGACCGTCAGCCGGTAGAAGGGTCTGTAGTCGTAGGAAAGTATCGTGGTTGTTCTTATTTCACCACTATTGCCGTCAATCTTAAAATGATCAGAATAATCTTCTACACAAACAAAAAATTTAGAAACTAATGTAAATTGACAAGATAGAAAACTGAGAATCGATGAATCCAGGAGGTTTATGATCACCTGGAAATATTTATTTTCCTAAGTTCTCTAAGAGTCATGAACATGTTCATGGAGACAGACATAGGCAGCCTGATAAAACCTTGTACAATGTACACATGTATCAAAATACCACATAGCATCCCATTACATATGCAAATATTGTGGTTTTATGTATCAGTTTTGACTACATTTAAACTAACAGATGCCACTAAAATATAAACAGCAAACAACAGTTTTTTAAATGATATAATGAACTTCCCATGTTCACTGCCTTGCTTCAATAATTATCAACTCTTACTTCATTTTTTTTTTCCAACTTAGGTACTTCTTTTCCCTCATTTTTTTCTGAAGTCTCAGAAATCATATAATTCTTTTTCTGCATGCAATTCCACATGCATCTCTAAAAGACAGGGAATATTTTTAAATTATCACAGTATTGTAAACTTTAAATAACAATGATTTCAAATACCATCAGATACTCTGTAAGTTTTAAAATTTTCAGTCATCTCATAAATAGGTTTGCTTGTTCAAATTAGCATTAAAACAAAATCCACACATTACCTATTTGACTCGATGGACAGCCACCACCTATCTTTTTAACCTTGCCCTGCACCTGATCTGAAGACCCGGGTCCTGTCTTTGGAAGTTTCCTGTACTCTACGTTTGGCTAGTGCTTACAATGTGTAGCTTAGTATGCTCCTCTGGCCAGTGCTGTCCTTACATTGGGGAGTAGACCTACACAGCTGATCAGATTCAGGTTGGCTTCTGGGAAACTACTTCATAAATGCTGCATTTCTCTTTAGAGGCACATGTTGGCTACCTTCATGTTTCCCTGTTGGTCCTGCTAATAATTCATAGCTTACACTTACGAATGCATTAAGTATTGCAAAGTATGTGATACTCTGTTCTTTGTATTATTCTCTCTACTTCGTTTCTTAGCTGGAATACTTCAATAAAGAGAAATTCTCTTCTGTCTACTTTTTGGTAACCCAGAGGGTCAGTTCACTATCATAGGAAATGCATTTTGTTTAATCATTTGTGGAATAATGAATTGGTCTGGTACCACCCTCCACAGTTCCAACTGTGATCAGTGAAATTTTGTTCTCTTTTGCTTTAAGAATCACCAAGCTGCATTTAAGCAGATTTGCTTTGGCACTTCGCCAGGACAATCGTTACTGAAGCTGTGATTCCCAGGTCTCCTGGTTGGTATCTTCCTCATTGTTAGTAACCTTCTAGTATCTGCTGTTCTGAACTGCGCACTCTTTCTGTAGATTTCCTGTCGAAAACTTGGAATCAGCTATTTCTCCAGGATTCCTGGTTCCTTTTTATGGAAAACGGGTTGGGGAGACAATAGTCCAGACATTTAGGGTAGTCATTGTTTTTGCTTTTGTCATTTTCAGTGGACAGAGAGTAGCTATACACTAAAATATACGTTCATACTGATTGCATATAATTCAAATTGAGGCCATAGAGTTTTTAGTCAACTAGCAGGTTGCATTCTTTAACAAAATTGGAATACTTCATATAATCAAAAAACAAACAAACAAACAAAAACCCACCTCACAGAAAGCCAGGGTAGAAAAGTCTTTTCTTTGGTTTAACAGTTGCTAAATCACTAACACTGAGCAGTTCCTCAGCAGTGAGAGGGGCATAAAGGCAAATAAAAAAGAATGTGTGCCTTCGTAACACTCAGAGAGTGAGCAGGAAAATATGTACACTTATTAGCTGTGATTTTTAAGCTTTAATCCACTTTCTTGAGTCTCACAGGAACAATGCAAAATATTCTCATGAATGTGATATGTATTTTTGTTGCTGTTACCCTGATTTTTTATTATGTTCCTTTATAGGATTATATTTTGCAGTTATCTTGATTTTGTAATGCAAGTAAAAATACCACTGCTTTTATAGAGTTAGACCCCCAAGCATCATTTATAAACTAATTAAGTAGTAAATTAAACATTCAGAATATCTGATGAACATCAATGTATTGCCTTCCAGATTGATAATTTCTCAGTAATTCACTGACAAGGTGTAAGTGAAGCAGAGAACTGGGCACACCAGGTCTCATCGCCCTCCCCTTTTCCTGCAGGAAGTCACCTTTCTACCTGAAGTGGTTATTTTGCTAGTCCATGCATTCATAAATATACTTGGCATGGTTTTGCCTATTTTAAGTAACATTACTATGTGAGGATTATAGCTGAACAGTGTGTGCACTTATATACCTCTTTTGGGTAGATCATGTTCCCTTCAGCAGCTAAAAACAAAAAAAGTGATATGAAGATCTCACTGACCTAATGAACTTAACAGAGGAAGATTTTTCAACCCATGATTGTGTAAAGCTCATTTCTTCCCAGGACCAGATTTGAATAGTGATTAGAAAGATCCTATTCTTTATGGCCAAGTAATATTTCAATGTGTATACATTACATATATATGTGTGTGTATATGTATATATATATATATATATATATATGTATATATTCCCCATTTTCTTTATCCATTCATCTATTGATGAGCATCTAGGGAAGCTTAGATCCTGTTAATCGTGATACTACAAACATACAATATTTATGTATCACTGTACTCTGTCTTTAATTCTTTTGCTAATATACGAAGGAATGTTATAGCTGGGTCAAATGGTAATGCCATTTTCAGTTTTTAAAGGACTCTTCATGCTAATTTCCATACTGGTTTTACTTGAATACATGCCCACCAGCAATGTAGATAGGTTCCTTTGCCCTTCACATCCTCGCCAGCATTTAGTGTGTGTGTGTGTATTTGTGTGTGGTCTTGCTGATAGCTGTTCTGACTGAGCTGAGATGGAATATCAATGTGTTTTGAACTAATGGTGAAAGATAGTAAACATTTTTCACACACTTATTGGTCATTTGTACTTCTTCTTTTAAGAAAAAGAATCTATGCATTTGTCTATTTGCTGATTGGGCTATTTGGTCTGGGGGTGTTTTTTGAGTCCTTTATTCTAAATACTAATCCTCCAACAGAAAAAGCGCTGGAAAGACTTTCTCCCGTTCTGCAGGCTGCCTCTTCACCGTTCACTGAAAAAGCTTTCGAACTGAATGCAACCTCATTGGTTGATCCTTGCTATTATTTCCTATGTTACTGGAGCCCTAGGCAGCAGTCTCTGCCTGTGCTGTGGCTTCGAGTGTTTCCTCTATGTTTTATTCTAGCAGTTGCAACGTTTCAAGCCGTAGGCCTAGGTCTTTAATGCATTTTGATTTTTTTACAACATGAGCTCTGAAGGGAAATGAGTGGAACTGGAGACCATCATGGTAAGTGCAATGGGCCAGACTCAGGAAGTCAGATAGCACACACTTCCTTTCACTCAAAAAATTTGAAATTTTCTTTACCGATAATCGGTCACACCTGGACCAGATGTCGGCAGTCCATCTTCTCCCCAAAATCAGAGAAAAAAGAGATTATGGGAAAGTAGGAGAGCGCCTACTTGAGACAAGAAAAGTAAGCAGGAGGAAGCCGAAAAAGGAAGAAAGGTAACCAGGGTGAAAATAAACAATGCACGTTATGTGCATGTTAGAATGTGACAAATCATTCTGTATAACTAACATACACTGGTAAAATTTTTAAAAAGAAGTATTGGCAGAAAAATTTGAGGGGTAACTAATAAAAAGTACAAGAACGAGTAGCTCTTCTTAAATATGGCTCATTACCTCTGGACAATCCACAAATCCACTGTTCAAGTGGCCTGGAAGCTTGCAAAGATCTTCCAGAGTATCTACCATGGAGAAGTTAGGATGCCTTCCTTATGTGGTCAGAGCAGCATGAAGGAGACCTTGCTCCTGGACCAAGGAGGACATGAGAAGAGCCATCTGTCACTTCCCCAGGGAGAGGCAGGGCAACAGCTCAAAGCAACGTTTGTGCAGAATTCTTGTCATCTTTTGAAATTTGCCTTCCAAAAAAACCTAGCCCTTCAGTCTGGGGCCTTCACCCTGAGTAACATCCAGAGGGCTTTGTGCATTGTTTACTGTGAGACAGGTCCTTGTGAAGACACTGTGTTGCCCAGGCTGGGTTCCAAGTTTTCATCCCCCTCCTTGAGTGCTGAAATTACAGGCATATGTCATCATGTTCCCCAATGCAATTTGTCTTTTACTTAAGTTTCAAGGTTTGACTGGATCAATGTGTATAAAGCTTTAGAGCTTTCACTTTTGCTGCTATAGAGTACTTCACTCAAACGTACCCCATTACACCCGCCATGGAAACTGCTCTGTTCTGTGACCCACACTGCACACACGCACGATGGCTCCAAGGTGTGAAGTAGAAGGAAGCCCGCACAGCGCAGCAGAGGACACCTCCAAGTGGACCACACACCACTTCACTGCCCCGACCAGCTCTGCCAGGGAAGCTGAGGATGTCTGAACCCACTTCTGATTATTCAGGATCCTTTTTCTGCAAGCATCCTTTAATCTGTTAACATCCATTTTCCAGTTTCTTATTTAATTATTCTTCCTTTCCTTGTTGATTTGTAGGTGTTCTTAATAAAGTTCGAGGACAATTTTCTATGAGTCCACAGGCTGCGATGATCTTCTCCCTGTTTGTGACTTGACCTACAACACTGCGCACCTTATGTGAAGTTTTTAGTTTTAATGTAGTTTTATTTTTCTATTTCTTGGTGAGTATTTTCTCTTTTTTACCCACAAGTTTATGTAGTCTATTTCTTATTTTTTTTTTCCTACAATAAAGGGGGATATTCACGTTTACATAGCTGCATCTTTGATATACAGAGAGGTAGGTTCCGCTCAATAAAATGTTACTTTTCCTATACAGGTAATCGGTCACACCTGGGTCAGACGTTGGCAGTCCGTCTTGTCCCCATATATCATGCATCCAGCCTCTGTGTGTGTGATACAAGTCCTCTACTCTTTCCCACTGCCTTGTTTATCAGCAACTTCATATGATCTTGTCTTAATTAGAAAAGTTTGTAAGTCCTCATCCATCAGGCAAATCTCCTACTTGTTCTGCTGATATTGCCTTAGTTACTCTGCTCTGTTTTTGCTGCTTATATGACTTTTAGAATCAGCTTGTCATGTTCCATCAAAAACCCACTAAAAGTTCAGTAGTACAGTTATAAATACATTAAACTAATCAATATATTTGTGTTCTTATCTTTAGGCTACTGAGCCTTCCTAAGCTGAGCATGATACAGCTTTTATTTAGTTTTATATGGTCTTCATTATTAATTTTCTACAAAAAGGTCTTATTTATGTTTCATTGGGATTTTCCTATATTCCTTAATAGGCATGATTCTGACTCAGATGATTTCTGAAGCTTATGTAATCCACGGGGTCCTCTGTGAGAAAGAGAGGACCAATTACAAATATAAATTGCCTATTGGCTTTGAACTCAACTCTGCCCTAAACCACATGGTATGTTTATGAATTCACCACAGTGAGAGTGATCTTTGAAAAACTTTAGCGTTTAAAATGCTATTGAAGTTTGTACACTGACATTGTTCCTGGAGAAGCTGCTGTGTTACCGTAGTCCAGTGCTTTGCTTCTCATACCTGTTGGGTTTTACATGAAAACAATCAAGGTACTTGCATGTAAGGACAATTTTGCCCTTTGGTTTCATGTTTGCATCAAGACAAAGCAACAAATATTCTTAAAACAGTGTAAGATTCAATACCCACTGAAGCTCATCACAACAAATCTGAACCCTGCACATTTTAAGAGAAAGCATGACAGTGCACCTGCTGTTCTCTGTGTATACACCGTGTGTCCCCTGATTCATGGTGTGGTACAGCTAGATGTGATATATTCTGACCTTAATGGTGCTTAGTCTTCCTAGGGATTCATAGACTCTTGACCACACAGCACGTTAAATACTGCTTCTTCTCCTCCTTACTATTTCGTTAGTTTCAGTAAAAGTTGATTTGCTCTTCAGATTATTGCAAATTACTCACTTAAGGTAAGTGGTTTATATTTAGGACAAAAAGTAGCATTAAGTTTTCATTAAACTTGTAATTTTTTTTCTTTTTTAAAAAAGTGAATGTGACTCTTGGCAATAGCAAATTTGTTCGGAACAATGTTTGTCATTTGGTGTTGTAGTCAAAGTTACCTGGAGAGTTCTAAGCAATCACAATAAAGCATATTATTTTCAGAAGCAGAAAGTAAGTAAAGGGGGTTCTACAGTCTTTTAATCCTTTATGAATAATGACTTTTACCTGAAGACACCGAGTAGGTAACTTCAGCATTGTTTCCTTCATCGAGATCCTTTGCAAACACGGTTGTAACCAACATATTTACTGGTTGGTCTTCTAGAACCTGTCATCAAAACAAGTGGCCAAGACATATCACTGCAGTCTTACAAAGAAGTATAGATGGACCTTTATATAAAAGAACACATTACATTGAGCATTCTTCACTATTTTAAAATCCACATACAATTCAAATGTCTACCATGTAAAAGCTAGATAATTAGAAGTCCATGAGAAGAATCCATCTTACAAAGTTAAATCTTTTTCTCAATTTCAACAAATTATCTAGGGCATTTAACTAATTCCATAAAAAAGAAAAGAATAAACAATTTTATATTTTAGGTCTATAAAAATAATTGTAGCATATTCTCACATCACATTCTGATGTCATATTTTAAAAGGCTACTACCACACAAAATATGCTTAGATAAATGCAAACCTTTATTTCAGGACATATACCTTACAGGGAAAACATAAATTAAAAGGAACTTTCTTGAAATACTGAAATGCACATGTGAATTTAACTATCCAATTAAGCAAAAGATAAGTTAATGGTGAGATTATAAGTCTCCATGATAATGTGATGATTTTTGCTTTGATAAAAATTTTCTCTAAATCTGGCTTCGGAAGATCAACATGAGTTCAATTTCACCAATTTTTTTTTTTTTTTAGTTTTTTGGTGTGCATATTTAAGTAAAATTTGAAAATGTAATTCAGTCATTTCAGAGCAGTAGTTTCCTAACTTTTTATTCTTACATCCATTAAAAAGTTATGAGTACCAGGTAGGTGTGGTGGCGCACTCACTCCTGTAATCCCAGCATTGGGAGGCTGACACAGGACAATTGTTTGCAAGTTAAGACCAGCTTGGGCTACAAAGTGAGCCTTGGGCCAGTCTGAACTGCATAGTGGGTCTCTGTCTCAAAAAGACAAAAAAAAAGTTATGAGTACCTCCAAAACATATTAATTATACACAAGAATATGCCAACTTGCTATGTAATTGTAAAAGACACAGAAATGGAAATAGAAATCTATGCATGTGCTCAAAAAAGAGGAACTTCTACAATCGTTGGCTGTACATCTACCCACTTCAGGACTAAAGATTGTTTCTGTCTTCACCCATCCTCCCAGTACTGTGTACCAGCTGGGATTCCACAGAGATACATGCAGGAATGTTATACACATGAAAAGGGATAAATGACATCCCTTCACAGAAAAGCAGCTGAAGGTTTAATCCCAAAGAATATATTTATACGTTTTCTTTCTATCTTTTTGTTTGTTGTTTGTTAACACGCACAATTTCATCTAGAAATCCTGCATGTACAATGTCAGGAGACCGATTTAAAAATTTACACTTTCTACCACAAGATGGCGCTCAGAACAAATAATCAAGGCATTACAAATTCATCGCAAGGCTGCTTCACAAACCTTGATATGAAATTCCTTCCCCGGGAGACACTGAGGGAAGAATGGGCTGTTGTCGTTGATGTCGGTGACTGTGACATAAACCGCCATGGTGGCATTTCGCGGCGGCGAGCCATGGTCTGTCACCAGGACGGTCATCTGATGGTGCATCTGGTGCTCGCGATCCAGTGCCAACCAACCAATCAGCTCACCTGAGGGACGCAGGGCAGAAGTAAGACCAAGACACTGGACTGTAACACTGGCAATGGGTGCCACCCCCAAATAGCCCACCGAAGGGACGTCACCGCAGTGTGACCCCTGCGACCATACCCATAAGCAGTCTGGCTCTGTGGTACCACTGAGTTTCCTGAAGTTGCTCTTAAAAATACCACTTCAAACTTGGTACGTCCGGAGCTTCAATGATCTTCCATCAACCATTTAAGCCAAAAAATATGAGTTCATAAAACCCAGTGATTTACAAGGTTTAAAAATATACCGCTTGTGTTATGCTGTTGCACACAACAGTGGAAAGCAGGCAGGGATGCGGTTGCAGATGCAGAGGGATGAGGGTCTGGGCCCAGGTCCCTCCCAGCGGTGCCATCTGCACAATGCGGTCAGTTGCAGGTCTGCAGGTGTTTTGCAAGCTGGATGTTACTGCACACGCGGCACCTGTTACTATTGCTTCACGCAATGGCAAAGAGCCCTCTTGAAAATAGCATTCCTTAGGGAATGGCTCAGCATTCAAGCATACGCTTTCTTTTTAATAGAATGAAATACATGTGTACCAACAGTAAATATTAATGTTCTCTTTTTTTTCTATATCGTTGCCTAAAAACTTGCCCCCTTTGGCAAGTTCCTTCACATTCCAATTATGAGGACTTAGGCACAAATCTGGACCTGTTTTGCCCATCCACGTCTCTCGCTCTGCAGCACAGGAAATCCTGGGTTTCCTCAGCGTGTGTGAAGAGACCTCTTTGTGAAAAAGTACACATGAAGCAGAAACCACCGAACTTCTTTTACTGTACTGTGGATTCACACTGAGCTACATCTCCAGTCCTTTCTATTTTTTATTTTCAGAGTCTTGCTAGATTGATAAATTGCCTAGGCAGGGCTCAGGTTTGCTATCCTCCTGACTCAGCTTCCCAGAGTCCTGGCATTATAGAGATGCACCACTATGCCCGAGCATCAAACATTCTTACAGCTAAGAGTTTTTTCCCTCTAAATCCAAATAAAATGACATTGGGTTGATAGATAGATATATAGATAGATAGATAGGTAGGTAGATAGACAGACAGACAGACAGACAGGGTGGTGGAAGGGGAAGGGGAAATCTCACACATTTGGATGTCTCTGAATTGGTGGGCAGAACTACAGTGTTTGCCATACAAACAATATATAAACAGTGTTAATTATAACTGTGATTTTAGTGAAAATAATACATACAGTTGCATTTCTCAAGTTCTAAACTGCAATTCCCTGAAAACCCTAAATTCTGAACAGCAAACATTGCTATTTCATAAACTGACTTAGACTGACAGAGCTGTTCAGAGGTTACATAGAAAAGATCATCAGGTTTGGCCCGGCCGCGGTGCCAGGCAGGGCTTTTTCCATGGGCACTGGAGTCCTGGTCACCGTAAGGACTGCTCAGAGCACCAGGATGGGGAGGACCAGGTGCAAGGATGTCCTCCAGCCCTTTCCTGCCCCTCTGTCCTTGGAAATGAGAAGGGGTGAGCAGCCCCCGCCCCCGGTCTTTCAGGCCCCTATGAGTCCTCCAAGCACAATCCAGAGCGTTTTGGGAATGATCCCTCTACTCATGATGAAAGTACCACACTCTGGGGTTCAGCTACTCGCTGAAGCCATGCGACAGAATGAGGTGCAGATACCTGGTCTTCTGAATCTGGGTCCTGGACCAACTATAAGAGAAGGATGATCAGGGAGAAGCAGCTGTAATTTGCATATTTAGAGAAAGATCAAGCAAAAGAGGAGGCTGAGAAAGCCACTGTGGTGAGGAGTGGAACGGGCCAGGTCTGCTCTGCACACCTGTGCAGCCCAGCCCTGCAAGTGGGGTTCCACTCAGGGAGGAAGGGATGCTGACACCAGTCTGCACTTCTGCTGGCAGCCACATGCCCTGCAGCAAAGTCTCACCCTATAGGGCAAGGGGAACCCTCTAGCTCATACCTCCTGCCTTCACAGCAAAGGCTTGAAGTGGGTCAGAACTGAACCCAAATCCTGCCGTACCAAAGGGCAGGAGCAGCACAACAGAAGTTGTGACAGAAACGTTCCCTTCTGAAACTGTGTTTTTGTGACTTCCTTGTATCCCAGGCAAGCTCTGTGACCTTACTTCGGCTGACTATCTGAACCTGCTTTCCCAGTTATATCTTTGCAGCATAAATCCATTTTGCTGTAGGCATCAAAGTCCTTGTAAATGTGAACAATGTCAATTTTGAAGCATAATATTATTTTATATTTAATTTTTAAATTAAGACTTTGGAAAATAATTATATCACTGCAATTATCACCCCCTTCCCCCCTAGTTTCCTAAGAAGAGAACAGGGACATAGATCTTTAAGGTGATTTATGTTTCACGAGTCTGTCCTGACACTAATAAAAAGGAACACTTGGCAAAGAAAATAAACTTTTACACAGGATTTACTTACGGGAAATCCTGACTTGGTCTTCCACTCAGTGTAAGGACTGCATAAAGTCACAGCCTTTGGATGGGGACTTGTTCTAAGAACTATGTCACTAGTGGATTTCATTGCAGTATGGACATCCCTGAGCTTACACAAACCCAGATGATAAACCCCACGCACACCTGGCATCACAGCCCTGCACAAGGCAGGGGAGGAAAAGCCTGCTGCTGCTACTCTGCAGCTCTGTGCAGAAGGGAACAGTCCTGACGACCACTGTGTGCAACCGTAACGGTGATAAGCATTTCCACTTCTAGAGGTAGAAAAGTGTTATGGTTGATGCACTGTGTCAACCTGAGAAGTTTAGAAGTTTAACCGACAGGATCCATATTTTGTAAACACCCTCATCCTGTGCAAGAGGAGGGCAAGGAGACTTTGTGAGTGTTATCCTGGCCCTGGGGGCAGGGAGGCTGTGTACAGTACAAGGGAGAAGAGCTTGTTCCTCATTTTTTGCTCTGGCTGCTGCCTGAAGTGTTGCCCCTGTGCCATGCCACCCTGCCTTGCAGCCAGCTGATTATGGGCTGAAACCTCCACAAACAGTGAGCTAAATAAACCTTTGCTTCCTTTATGTTGAGTGTTGGGTGTTTTGTCCCAATAACAACAGAAAAGTAACCAAGACAAGAAGGTGTAGCAAAGATCCTAGGCAACAGTTTCTCATCCATCACCCTTGTAACTGTGGGGACCAGGGCCACATATGCCGTTTGTCACTGACGACATCATTAATTGCCAGGTGAGCCAGTGAATGGGAGGCAAGAAAAGTACGCCTGCTTCTAGCTGAAAGCCTTTCCAATGTGAACTTCATTTTAAAATCACATAATACTATAATCAAATACTGTCTTCATCAAAGACTGTGTAATTTTAACTATGTATTTGCACTAAAATCATAACTAAAAATTTTAGTGTTCCCAATCTTGATTTAACTTATTTATTAATTTATTTATTGTAGGGGTTCCTGGGAATTGAACTCAGGACCTCCCACTTACCAGGGGTGCTCTGCGTTACTGAGCTAAATCCCTGGTCTGCCCAATCCCGATTTCAAAGAAGTAAGTGGAAGCCACAAAATGCTACCTGTGTTAGGGTTCATTTTGAAGAATTTGCCATCAGACAGGAGGAAATATGACAGCTGTCCGTTCTTGCCGGAGTCCATATCAGTGGCTGTGATCCTGCCTATCACCCCCAGGGGCACAGGGCTCTCCTCCACCTTTAGAAACAGCTGGCCGTGTGAGAAAGCGGGGGAGTTGTCGTTCTCATCCAGGATGTGGACAGTCACGGAGGTGCTCGCATTTTGCGATGCTCCACCTTGCGGAGCCCAGGCCAATGCTCTAACCCTGTGAGTCTGCATGGTTTCATAGTCCAGCTGTCGCCGCAGGTAAATCCAGCCTGTGTGTGGCTGGATCCCAAACAGGGCCGTGTCCGCCGAGGGCTCCAGCGCGTACCTCACCTGCTGGGCTGTGCGTCCAGGGCCGAGAGTGTGGGCCTGTATCTGTAAGATCTGGGTCCTTGGCGGGACAGACTCGCTCACCTCCACCTGGTAGACCAAATTTTCGAAAGCCAAGCCGGGCCCTGATTCTTGCGGCTCGATGACGAGGGTCAATGCCAGCAGGGACGCCCGGGGTGGCTCGCCGTGGTCTTCAGCCACCAAGGTCAGCGTGAGCCTCTGCAGCCCTTGGTCCTCCACGCGTGCACGGAGGTAGAGTACGCCGAGCCCCGCGTGCACCGCGAATGCACGCGGGTGCGGCTCGGCCAGGGAGAAGCGCACCAGCCCATTGCGCCCGCTGTCCCTGTCCACGGTGCGCGCCAGGTACAGAGCCGCGCCGGGAGGCGTGGCCGCGGACACGCGGATCTCCTCCTGGGCTGCCCCGAGAAACTCGGGGGCGTTGTCGTTGACGTCCAGGACGGTGACATTGACTTCCGTGCTGCTGCAGGCCGCGGAGCTGCCCAGCTGGGCCTGGACAGTGAGGACCACCACGGGCTGCGCCTCATGATCCAGTGGCTTGCAGGTGCGGATAGTTCCCAGCCACGGGTGGATGCAGAACTTCCCGTCCGGGTCGCCGGAGGAGATTCTGTAAGAGACCGGTTCCGAGGAATCTGAAAAGAGAACCTGCAATCAATCTATCACCTTGTGCCCAAAGAATAGGAAACGCTGGAGCTGCACAGGGTCCCCACGGGTGCCACAGCCAGGGAGCACAGCCGCGGGGTCACCGCTAACTTCCACTCTGCTCTGCAAAACCTGCTGAACTGGTTTAGGATCCCATGATGCGCTAAGGGAATGCCCTGTGGACAAAGCAAGGCTCGGGCTTGGGCTCTCTGTAGGAGAGAGCAGATGCTCAGTTAGGGACCTGGGCTCCTTTCTCATGTATTTGAGGAAGACAAGATATGATAATGCCCATTGTCTCCACCATTTTATCTGCCTGTGGACAGCAAATCACGGCTACAGAGGTGGTGGAGAGAGAGGGAAGAAAGGACAGGAGGGCATTCTGGCCAACAACAAGCATCTGGGCCTGGTGATTCCCCTCAGGGAATGGGTCCCCGCCCCAGCACCTTCACACAGGAGAACCAGGGTCCTAGGAGGAGTTTTGCTTAAGTACCATCTGCACTAGCAAAAAATGCAAATCATTTGTATTGGCAGCAAAAAGAAAGTGTTTAAATAAAACAGTGTCTCATAAAGTGAAGCAGAACGATCTGCAGTTTACTTGGAAAGTGTGCACACAGACGGAAGTTACACAACACAAACAGCGGGATGCAGTTCTGTGAAGATGAGTTTTATAAAAGCATAGTGTTTGGTGAGTACACTAAGCTATGCTTTCTACACTGTAACTATTGTTTTAAGCTGTCTTCTTTTAAAGATACTGATTGATTTCATTATGAAAAAAACTACAGGATGGACAGAAACAATGTTGCAAGGCCAAGGAGGGGTGTGGGTTGTGCTGTGTCTCTCCCCTGTCTGGCACAGGGAAGGAAAGAACTATTCAAGATTGCAGCCTCAGGAAATCTCCCCACAGTGGCTTCCATGCACATAGGAATCAAGTACTCACTTGAGGACTCCCTGGCTCTCACTGTTCCAACAGGACTGCCTTCAAGCGCGTCTTCAGGAACCGAGAAGGAGTACTTCTGTCTCTCAAATTCTGCGGGAGCCAGTGTGGTGTGCAGGACATGTATGGTGACCTCAGCATTTGTGGCTGCTGTGAGCCCGCCACCATCTTGGGCACAGACGGTCAAAAATATTGTAGTAGGTTCCAAATGACCGAGAGCTGATGCTAAGTAAATAATTCCTGGGTGGGAGAAAGAATTAATTAATAGATTATATAAAATAAACGCTTAAGTAACACTTAATTGTTAAATTGAGTCTATGTTTAATTTTATGTGTCCATTTGACAGGACTATGGGTACCCAGGCATTTGGTCAACATTACCCTGCATGTGCCTCTGATGGTGTTTCTAGATGGTTTACATTGAAATCTGCAAATGGAATACAGTGGGTCACTCTCCATAAAACAGAGAAAATGCTTCACCCAGCCAGCTGAAGTCTTCCAGTGAGAGAATTCTGCTGCCTGCCTGTCTTCAAACCGGGACATGGTTCTTTTTCCTGCTTTCAGACTCTCAGTGGATCATAAGCTCTCCCTGCACTTCAGGCCCTTTTATCTTCCATCTGGAATGCACCACCAGCTCTCCTGATGCAGAGCTCTGGACCTGCCCGTCCCTTTATCGGCAAGAGCTGACTCATTCTTCATATTGTGTCTCTCTCATCATTCCGTGTGTGTGTGTGTGTGTGTGTGTGTGTGTGTGTGTGCGTGTGCGTGTGTGCATGTAAATAGATGTATCTTTTTTATGCACACACTCACCCTAGTGCTTCTACCTCTCTGGAGAGCTCCAAATGACACCTTGATTTTAGAGCCAACAGACTTATAGCATATGTTCAAAATGCTGCTGCATGATCTGTCAAGTCAGCAATATTTCCCAGCACTTAAATGTTACACAGTTTGGAGTCAGTTCATCAGGAGCGTGTAAATTGTGCTGTCTTTCTCATGTCTCACTACCCTCTCACCAGCTCAGGAGGATGAAGTAGTAGAGTATACCCCAGAGCTCGATGTGCCCTCCTGTGGGTTAATATGGGTGCTGACTGAACACAGCCTGCCTAGGAGCCTGGATCCTAAGTCTGCAGGATGAAACTGAAATTGCATCTTCTGAGGTGTCTGACATCTGTCTGGACTGAATGCTGTGTGGGACAGCTCTCCTTTTCAGCTAATTTTGTATTTTGTTCATGGTAAGGTACAATGCAATAGCTGTACATGAGGGAGCTGCAGAAATGGGAAAAACCTTTGGAGCAAGCTTGAACTCATGGATGCAGCTGGGTGAGACAGGGGGGCATTTAGGGTTGGGCTACGGGAGACTCGTTACTGCTGAGAAAAGTATTTAACACTGTTAACATTACCGTTTAGTGGGCTATTTGGAAACATGGAAGTATATGTAATATAAATAACCCAGTAAATCAATCCATTGATTTCATTTCATGAGAAAACAATATGTACATATATCAATTAAATTTAAGTACAAATAAATATGTCTGCACTTTATGAAACTCTTCCTGGTCCAACCAGCCAAACACTAGTTCAATGAAAGAATTTTGCACTTTTTGTCATCTATGAAAATCTGGCAAAAAATATCCATCCTGTATGCATAAATATATGATACCCATCAATGTCTTAAGTTGAAATCTTCTCCATTAGCAAATTTAATTCCTCATCCCCATTTCTGTTAGAAGTTTAAGGAAACATGTCTTCTCTTTAGTGTAAGACATAATCGTTACCTAAACTCAGATATTTAACCTGACTTTTTCTAGCACAACATCCCCATTGTCTTTTGTCCCCGAAGATATAGTTGCTACATAAAATTGTATCAGCTCAAGGTGTGCAGTGTGACAACTAGAAATCTAGGGGAGGTATCATTTTCCTTATTAAGGTCCTTATCTAGCATGATTTTAAGTCATTGATTCCTCTCTTGGTTCATTTTTCCCAAGCATGCTCCAAGGTGCCCACCCTAATTCTGACATCATTTTGAGATCAACCTGACCAGTACAAAACAGATGTTTATTAATAATACCAACTAGAACTTCTGGAAGAACATGGCGGATAGATAGCAGCAGCTACGGAGGCTCTCTGAGATACCCCACTTAAAATCCAGGAATGGTGCGGTACAAGGAGTCCTAAGTAAGGGGAGATACACCCTGCCAACCCAAGAATGAACTAAGCTAAGAGAAACCAACTGGAAATACAATCCTGGTGCTATAACAGTCGGAGCAGATAAAGTCTCAGCATGGAAGCTGAAACCCACACCACTGGAAGCCTCAATTTGAATTTCCTGCTGCTGCTGCTGCATCCAAATCTGCTGGGCAGGAAGAGAGACACACTAAAGCTCTGAGAGTGGAAATCTGTGAATGGAGTTGAGAGCGGGAAAAGCAGGGAGCCATACATTGACTTGCAGTGAGTAAGCAGATGGGTACCCTTTCATAGAGTAAGAGGCTCCAGAAAAGGACATACTGGGACTGGGCAGACTTGCCAGAATAGGATGTTGCAGTGACATTAGTTGCATATTCCCCTCTCAAGCAGGATTGGTGGGGAGTGCCTGGCCCATGTGACGCAGCTGACTAAGACCCAATAGGGTAGCCCAAACCAGGTCCCAGTGCCTGGAGGTGCACCCTAACGGTGAAGCCTTCGGTAGGTTGACCTGGAGGGGCGGGCCCAGTAGAGGCTGCCCAGGTCTGTGTCTCCCTAGTACACTGCAGTGGGCAGAACCACCTAGCCGGCGCAATTCAAACAAACTGTAACCGAAAAAGAGAAAAAGAAAAAAATGGGCGTCCTCCATTCGCTTGTATGGAAGGAACAAAAAGTATGGGAAGAGGAAGCGACAAGAAAGGGCCCTCAGTCCCCAATCCTGAGAACACTGATCCAGGAAAGGGAAACGCAAAGGAAGACAGAAAACACAATATCAGACACGGCACCAATAGACATAAAGCGATATCTCCAGAGCCTCATAGACGAGTTTAAAAATGAAGTATTTAACGAAATAAAGCAAGATATAAGTAGAATAGCTAGAGAAATGCTAAGCACTGCTCAAGAAAAAACAGATGGTGGAATGGAAGAACAGAAAAAAATGGGAGAATTGTTTGATGGAGAAAATAGACAAAACATAGAATACATGAAGCAGCTTCAAAGAGATTACCAGGAAACTAAAAACTCTATTGAAAGCTGGCATAACAGCTTGAAAGAAACTAAGGATAGATTATCTGAATTGGAGGGCAGATTTGTAACTTGGGAGCATGAAATGAATTCTTAAAAATAACAAGAAAACAAACAGCAATAATACAAAGGCTAGAAGATGATAAGAGGATCTATAACTTAAGAATTAAGAACACAGAAGAAGTAGGGATACAAACAAATGGACTACAAAAGTTAATTCACAGAAATAATCCAAGAGAATTTCCCTAATTTAGAAAAAGGTAAAGATACTCAGATATATGAGGCATACAGGACCCCAGCCACCTACAACCCAAACAGAGCTACATGCAGGCATATAATAATCAAAATTCCAGAAATCCAATATAAGAACAGAATACTAAAAGCCATCAGAGACAAGAAACAGATCACTTACAAGGGAACACCCATCAGAATTACAACAGACTTTTTGGCACAAACCATCAAATCACGAAGAGCATGGGGGGAAATAATTCAAGCTTTGAAAGATAGCAACCTCCAGCCAAGAATGATATATCCTGCACAACTGTCCCTAGAAATTGATGGAAAAATAAGGTGCTTCCAGAATAAAGAGGAACTAGGGAAATTTGCAACCATCGATTCAACTCTACAGAGAATACTGCAGGATATTCTAAAAAAGGAAAATACCAACACTTCAGAAACAGTGGCAGAGAGGCTACAATGAATGGAGCAGAAAGCGAAATGAAAAAGACAAAGTGGCAACAAACGACAGAAAAAGAGCTCAACAGAAATGAGGCAGAGAAGATTGGATGGTAGGAACAGCTATTTTGGAGAAAACAAGATATCATAATAGCTAGTGCTGATTTAGTATCATCTTGCTCTGAAGTCCCATCAAGCTTTTATTCTTCTGTCTCCATCGGTCTTAACAGGTTGTATCTTATTGAATTTTATTATATGTGATAATATAAGCAAAACTTTTATAAACAAGGAGATTATACAGAAACCATTGTTCATTTTCTGACAGTTGGTTCTAAATACCTTGTAATACTGTCATTCTCTTAAATGGTGTTACATTGTTTTGATATGCTTGATTCTACAGAATACAAAATTATATTCAAAGATTTCAAGGAAAGAGACACTATGGTAACTACTTTTATGTCAGGATATCATGTGGTGAAACACTATTTTGCTTAAATGGTTATGCTTTAACCTGCGCTGTTTTGTTGTTATGCCCTCTTTTATCTAAATCTCCTTTTTTTAAATTATTTACTTTTTTATCTTTTTAATTAAGGGAAAAATAAAAAAAATAGCAGGATACATTATAGCAACCTACTTTGATTTCCTATTATCTTTATTTGAAACTCTGTATAGCCCTCACCATCTTGCTTTGATTGATTTTCCTCTATTCTGCTTTGCTTGATAGTACCAGTTTGAAAGTATAGGCAAAACTGTGAAGACAGTAAGATTCATTATGACACCCATTCCGGTTGACTATTATCTTCTTTTAAAGTCCTGTAATGTCTCCAATGTTTTGGTTTACTCTTTAATGTTTTGTTCAATTTTATTATAACTGATGGCATAGGCAATTCTTTTTAAGATAGCAAGAAGCAGTATGGTAACCATTGTTGATCACCTAGTATTTTGTTTTTACATTATGTATTATGTCCATCGTTTTGATTTGACTGACTCTTTTCTGTTATGGCACATTTGGTTTTACTCTCTTCAAAAAAAAGTAATAAGAACTGTGGGAGTAATAAAACCCAAAATGTGTAATTGTCATTGTACAAAAGAAAGGAAAAGAAAGTGCTCTAAAGAATATAACTGCATATATATTTAAGTATATAAGATAGATAACCATATTACTGAGTTTTGTTGGATCATTGAACAAAACTGTTTCCAGTCTCACTGTTTGAAAGTCCACTTTATATGCTTTAATTTTGTAACTTGAACAACTATTTCTAAGATAACAATATGTAATCTATTAACTAGTGATTTCCTACTGTTTATTTTTTCTGAAATTCTGTATAACTTGTACCCTTTTTCTGTTTTTTGTCTTTTTCT